TAAGCTTTCGTCCGTCATATGACGGACATCATCAGAGCGAGGTAACATCGTCACAACAAAATGCAAGCTAGCGAGTCAAGAAAACTCACCGGCAAATCCCTAAAAAGGGGTATGCATACTCTAGATCTGGCCTCTTTGATCGAGTATAAAGTTATTTGGCTAGTTACGGTCATATGTCAACCTCGAAGCCTGTCAGTATGTCTGTTTCTGTATGTGTGTGTGTGCATATTTGTGTTCGCTTATGCACGAAACCCGCAGTGATGGACCAAAGTAATTAGGACCCCATCTCCCCCTTTGTTATAACCGTCACTCCGATTGCGCAAGGTCGGACACCCGTCTGGTTTTGTTGATGAGCCTTTTTTTGTTTTGGTCTCAATGCGAGAGAGAAAGAGTGAGCTGAAAGAACAGAGAAGTGACTATGATTTGAACCATATCGTCGTCATATGATGGACGAAAGCTTAGCACCTTTTCACCGGAATCGAAGAAGATTGCCTCGGAAACAGCGTCAACAGGACTTTTTTCTAGCCGAGTTTCACCCGAAATGAGGACGGATGTCTCGTGGACTGCATCAATCGGAACGTCGTATTAACTCCAAACGGTTGCAGAACAACAGGAATCGGCCGTCGTCTTCCGATGAGGTCAACCGACAAATCTCTTCATCCTAAACCGACTTCAATTCACAAAGGGATACCTTGTCCGAAATAGTATTGGTGTGGTGACGTTCATTTCGTGAAGAAGTGCCAGATGAAGAGTTTTGTAGGTCGATCCCACCAGAAAACGATGGTGGATTTCTTTCGCTCTGCATTCTTTTGTAATTACTACGAGGTTCAGTTTGATGTAATCCACGAAGTAGCCGGCCACCTTGGCCTTCAGCGAGTGGATCTGCAGAGTCAGAGATGGATCTTATTTTCACAAGCGCAGAGCTCATTGAGTTTGCAGGCATCGTGAACGAAATGAGTATAACACAAAATTATATAAAAATTCAACTCTCCACTCACTGTGGAGCTAAGGCTTTGCATCACAGAAGCAAGTAATGTTCATTTGTGTGACTCGGGATCAACTTGGAGTTATGTGGTCTTGGACTTAAGAAGTCTGCTACAATAAACAGGCATAGGCAGTACGACTGTTAAACACAGAGTACACGATTAAGTATATCCATGCTGTAACTCATTCACATAGATTTTATTAGCTATTGATGAGGCAAGTTACTGTAATATTTTCTCTGTGGCCTTTCAAAATGAATAGGAATGACGGATAAATTGCCACTCCTGAAAATCTGTTTTTTTTAAGCCTGCTCATGTGACGACGAGCCTTTTCAACGGGAATTCCTCACACTTTTTCAGTTAGAAGAGAATCTTTTCTTTCTCAGTTCGCCTTCAGTGGCCCACATTGTCTATGCTGCTTTAGGACCCTCAATGACTCATCGTCTAGACTTTCCACTTTTCCGCCAGATTTGCCGATCGATAAGGCCTACTCGAGTAAGCACGATTCCGTCTGGCCTTTTCAAATATTCGCTGATCGATCGTGCATTTTTGCCTCAGGCCAATCGTCTGTGCCTCATGGAAAGATGAATGGTTATTATGGCCCATGGGCAGTTGGTCTCGGCAGTACTGGAGCTGGCGGTTGCAATGGCAGTGGCATCAGGTCCGTCTCGTCTGGCCGACCCGGCCAGCCTCTTTGCTGCGTCCTGATTCGTCAACGTGTCAAGGTCGCACAACTTAGTAGGCATTGGCCTGACAACTTCGGACCGGTAGGCCCCCCGATTTCGCATGAGCCCACGTCACCCACCGGCGGAATTAGCAACATGTGCCTTCTCCCGGTTCAATAAGCGTCTCTTCTGCACACGCTTTAGTGGCGGGGT